AAATTGTCAAGACAGTCCCTTCAATTCCGCCATTAAAACTTATGGAGAACAGACCGAGATTATCAGACGAATCTAAATACGCTCCCTGGAACATTTACGCGCGTGACTCGCTTATCAACACTTTGATTGCCACGTCACCCAGATATGCGTGACACGTACTTTGCAAAAAAATTGGATTATTTAAATACCGTTACAAAATCCTTCGTAAAATTACTATTACAAAATAATTTAAACCAAGATCAATAGCCTCTGTTAACTAAATGCTTATATTTTCGACGATCTATGACTTAGGGGGCCAAATACCATAAAGTCGCGGATAACTTGTACGTACCCCACTCTCTGTCATATTCTGTAGCAAATAATTGGTCGGACAACGTCCAATTGACTCTCGATAACAACCCGTTCCGAGAACAGCTCGCTTCTGAAACCCCAAACTCGGCCAATTATCGCGAGTCTATTGTAACGTGTCTGACTACGTACGACCTTTTTCACTATGGCAGTTGTGTTAAAGGGAAGACCCACTGGCAACCACGAGACATTCTGTCAACGATGTCGCGTCCCCCCTAAACTTGTTACCCGTTAATTCCAACCCCATTTCCCAGAGGGGTGCGACAGGTAGCGGAATAAAGAGGCCATCCAGGGCATAGCCCGCCGCAGGACGATTTTCGAGTAGCGTCATCCGCGTGTGGCTCTGCTTTTTGTCAATTAATCTGGAGTTATCAGTGGCACACGATGGGAAAGGGCCCGACGTGGAAGGCAGCCTAGGGGAAACTGGTCATTTGTATGACGCCAGGTCGACGATGAGCCTGTGTGTGGGCCGCCCGCGTTATCTGCCGCTCGGAGCTACCGCCCTGCGGCGCTTCGTAACACACGTTCACACGCACACACGAGAGAAAGGGAAAAACATCGAAGGGAAAGGGGGGCGCAGTTTTGAAACGATAGAAAGAGGATATCGGCACGTTTGTGCGACACGTTGTTTATACGAAACGGTCAGTGGTTGGAGGGGTGCAACGAGTTACGATGTCAGCGGCTCGTTCTAGTTCGGTTCGTTTGATAATTCGATAGCACTTTTGCCACCTCCTGCGCGGCGCACCCGTTGTACATCGCCCACAGCTCTTTCTTTCCCCCGTCAGGCCACGTACACACGCATACACACACGCTCGGCTCCAGTCCAATTAAATTTATCCGACTATGTTTTCGGCGCCCGTGGAAAATACGCGCGCCCGCGATCCGTTGCCCCATAAAAGTAGAAAACCGAGTGAGACAGAGAGGGTGAGAGGGCTGGACCGCTGGAATGCAATTAGCCTCCTTCGTTCGTTCATTCTCGATTTTTCTACCGGCGATTTTGAAAGCTCGCAGTTCCGACGTTTCGTGTTGCGCCGATTGACGGATGAGCTGGGGGGTAATGATATTAATCGAATAAATCATTTTCATCTCCGTCAACTGTTAGATCGAGTTTGGGCTTTCAGGGGTTTATTAGGTTTTTTAAGACTTCGTGAAGTTGTTGGAATTCATTTGATTATTTTAGTAATTGAAAAAATATTTTCATTTCCGGTAACTGCAGATCGAGTTTGGGATTTTATTCGGATTCTTAGATTTCTTGGGACGTAGTCATGAAGTTGCTGGGAATGCTTAATGTTCTCTAGACTCCTTACTACTGGTATTGATCGAGTAAATATTTTTCTCTCGAGAATTGTAGATGGGCTCTTCGGGGATTGTTGAGCACCTTCGGATGTTCTCATGAGATTGTTGGAATTTAATTATGTTCTCGAGTCTTATTACTATCGATATTAATCAAATAAAGATTTTTATCTCGAGGACTGAGGATCGTGTTTGGGCTTTGCGGAGTTTACTAGGTTTCTTGGGACCTTGTGGAGTTCTGTTATTGTTGTTATTAATCGAATTCATATTTCTATCTCAAGAATTATAGATCCTGTTTGGGATTTTAGGGAGATAGTAACATAGGTTCATGGGAGACGTTGCTTACAGTTTATTCGGATTTCTACTTCTGTTACTGTTCCAAGGTGCAGAAGTAAAGATTTCACCCTTTCCAAGTCTTCCAGCGATGTATTAGCAGGCTCGTTGGCATCCACAGATCTGTTGTACCAACTTTCCTCCCGGATCAATCCCTGTCCACCGCCCAATGGATATCGCAGCCCTGTTTGATGATGATCGATGATGACGGAGGGACTGTTCAAAGGTATACTAACAAGGCTACGGGCCGAATAGAACGCCGGGTATTCGACGTGTCTATTCGGGGAAACCCCGAAGAGATTACGTTACACGTGCCCAGAAATTTGGCAGGAAGGACCGGTTTCAGAAAAGGGGACGAAATGAACCGAGAGGAAAAGAATTTAAAAATAGAAAATAATCTCGTTCCCTGGACATTAGCGAGGATTAATCCACGAAAAAGGATTCGTTCGAAAGGCAAATATCTTCTTCATGTTTCCCACAGAATTCCATTCTCTGGAAATTCTCGAAAAGGAGATACCATCAAGATTAAATAACAAAGTCCAATCTCCTTTACTAGATTGTTCTCCAAACAATTTCACTTTCCCGACCAATCCCTCTACTTTCCATCCCGAATGAACTCGTATCGTTACCTAGCCTATTCCCGCAGAACTCTAAACGCCGCTAGGGACAATAAAACAAGATCATGAAAAAACAGAAGATTCTTTTGCCCAGGAAATTCCATTGTTTGTTAGAGACTGCCTTTCGCGCGAAATTCGAAGAAATTACGAGATTAACGGAAGCAACGAGAACTTCCGTGAAAAATACCGCTCAGGTCGGGCTGTTCACAATGCAGAGGAGGTGTAGTTGCGCCCCCTAGGATTTCCACCTCTCCCGTTGGGAGTTGAGAGAACCAGCCAGAAAGAGAAATAGAGAGAGGGAAGAGGTCGGTACACGAGCGTTGCATAATCAAGTATCCGCTTAAGAAATGAGCCGAGTTTGCTAAACCGGTAGTAGTTTACTACTTCTCGGTGTAATGCATTCGGATTCTGGTATCTGGCTGCGGACGATGTTCCTAGCCAGACAGAAAGCAGCCAGAGAAAGGGATGCAGAGAGATCTCGCAGCTCCAAGGGGAGAAGACGCCGAGTGTCGGCTTCCTGTCCAGAATTTGCGTGCAAGTTTCGCCCAAAGATGGAAACGCGTGTGGTTCTTGACGACGTGCTTCCGCGCAATTGAGTTAGAAACTGAGAAATTACGAGTTCTTTGCCCCCTTCCACCCCCTTTCCAACCGAAACGAGTTCCCCTTACGTGCGGCTGCACGCTCTTGAAAAATTACTGCGTCTCTCGAGACGATGCGTTCGCGGATTCTTGCAACCACCACCCATTATCTTGGCCCAGATCTTGCTCGGAATTGATCATTCTTGGGAAAATAATCAAGAATTGTATAGAAACTAGGTATTCAGTCCGGCGTTGCCGGACAGAAGTCTCGTTTCGTATTTTTTTTTTTATAATTTGGATTGTGCAGGTAGTTAATTTTTTATGTTGATACTACGATAGTCTCTTTAGACTCAGTGGTTTTTTTTGTTTACTAAATACTTGCTGGTTATACAGACGATGCTCTTCGGTTAAATCTGTTTCATTAGGTCGACATTGCAAAGTACGAATACAGTAAATCGTCGGTGAGTGTTCGAAGGATCCTCGGGTGTAACGCTGACTTTTTAATGAGGCTTAGCACAGTGATAGACCTTGGAATTCTGAAGTTAATTATATTTGTTTCGGCCGTATATGGCCATTAGTTTATTCCAACACTCATCGCGGATTTACTGTACTTCCATTTTCGTTTATTCCTTCGGACGCCAAAACATGTTATTTTTCGATGAAACTTGATAGTTTGGATTCGAAGTTAATGGCAAATGTGAATTTCACGGAAATTTTCGTCGGTCCTGATTTCCGCGCGAAATGCCGCCCAATTGTTCGCGGGAGCTTTAGAAAAATTGCTGCCAATTCTGGGAATAATAAACGCTGTCGGTTTTCCTGGAATTTCGCGTAATTATCAGGATCTGAGTTTCTGTATGAAATTAATTCTCGCGGAGGTGTGAACGGCGGCCCCGTGAAAAATTCCATCGCGTTTCCACCACGCCCACCACGGCGACATTGGACTTCGTCATTTCACTGTCCGTGTTTAATTATTGCGTTCCGAATTATTCCAGAAATCTTTTTGCAGCGAAGTCACGTTATTACAATCATTAGAAAATATAATGTTCTTCGTGGAAAAAGTTTCAGTTTTAATTCACCTGCGCGCGTATTTCACGGTAATCCAGAGACGTTTCCCGTATCGATTCCCGTCGTTCCCCTTGTGCAGGTAACATGTTCGAACAACGCGATACCTATCCCAGGTGAAACATAATTCCGTGTAAAATGCAGGGATTGAAAATTGTTATGATATCAGTTTAGGGTCTTGAAACTGTTATGAGAACCGAAATAATGTTATAACTGTTATGGACATAACGATTTTGGCCTATATCAGTTTCGGTTTCAGTTCTGCAGAACCTTCTATCGGTTCTACATCAGTTCTATCAGTGTTATTGTTCGGTTCCATATCTGTTATTTTTCGGTTGTATTTCAATTTCAATACAGTTCTGAAATCGATACTCGTATGGACTTTGCAGTTATTGAAAAAATTTAATTAGTACTGTTGCACATTAAGTATAAGTTTGCAATTTAATAAAATTTAAATTTTACAATATTTTTAATATTTACTGTTTTCTATTTTAATGTAATTTGTTTTCTAGTTTAGTTTATCCGGAAATTGAAGAAAAATTATTTTACTATACCAGATAAGTGCCTAATGCATTTAATGTTCAATATAATATAAGTAGAACCATTTTAGAACCGTCATAGAACCAGAACTAACACTTACAGAATAACACTTATAATATTATTTCTGTTCCCATAATTGCATCAGTCAGAACCAATATGGACATAAGAGTTTGAAACATTTATTTTCGGAACCGTTTCAATCCCTGGTAAAATGTTCTTCTGCTTCCAGCCCCGGCGCAAGTTCGTGAAATATCGAAGGAGGGCTCGCAGCGACGTCCAAACGACGCCAATAATGATTCGGCTGCCGGAGGTGATTCGCCGGTATTCGAGCCGACAGCGGCGAATGTCAGCGCGTACGTCGGCCAAACGGTCTACCTGCCCTGTCGTGTACGAAATTTGGGCGATAAAGTGGTAAGCAGACACGTGGATTTTATTTGTGGATTAAACGGGGTCTATGTCGTTCGAAACGATTCTAAGCTTCCGCGACGACTAAGCCTAGTACGCGGAGGAGCAAAAAATTTTGTCTCAGAGGCCATATTTTATATAACCAACGGCGGAGTTTTACAGCCGATATGAAAAGTTACATCGTAAAGGGCAACCGCGTAAAAATTCCGAGACCGAAACTGTCCCCCGGCTGACGTTTCGTTAACCGCTACCAATAAAGATTCTCCCGCGCTTTTTAAAATCCGAAACTTCCGGTCTTTATCCACGGTGTCGTTACCGCCGTGGAACGAAATTTCGTTCTCGAGTGTATCATGGCTCTTGGAAAATTTTGAAAAACAGTCGTTTGCTAGAAGCTATTGTTATGAAGTTTCATCGCTGAGATCGCAATCATCCACGATTTCCTGTCATAGTTCATAGAGATATTTTATTCCTTTGTAGTGACACAGAAAATATAAGAGGAATCAATGCAGTATTTCCTGGGTGATTTTAATGATATTATACAGACTCCTTCGAGTTCTTGTATATTTTCTCCTTATTCTTTCACGTACCCTATCCAGTTGTACCACCAATTATATGACACCCTGTATTTAAGATAGTAATAATAAGAACTATATGCAAGATTTCCCCGAATGTTTCCTCAAACTCACTGGCAAGAGACCACTTTCGAATCAAGAGTAGTTATTTAGCAGTCAGGAAAAGGGTCGTAGGCAACCAAAGAGCACCGGGACACGCTCGTCGTGGAAGTCACGGTAATTAATTTTCGGAAGTTGCTCGAGTCCCGGCTCCTCCGTTCCGTAGGCCAGTTTCTATTCAAACAGGTTGTCTTGCGTCTGACGACGACGTCGCAGCCCTTTGCCCGCGTTATCTCTACAAAGGGGGGGCCCCGTGTAATTAATAACGAGCCCCCATGACAAATCGTCGTTTCCGCAATAACGAGCGACCGATAAATACACCGCGAAGCGATTAGAGCCAGGCCACCGGCACGAAAATGCAGACGGCACACGGTCGTACTCGGGTACCTACACAGTTAGCGTGCCCGTGACAATCGATCAAAACGAGACGCTGGGACACAGACATCACCGTGTTTCCTTCGGGGCTAATATCTGCGCGATGACTATCTACCGTTTGCGGGCCTCGGGCCTCTGCAGTTCTCACCCTTTGCCCGCGGTGATGTCCGTACGTTATCTTAATTTGTCGCTTGTCGGTTAGTAATGTCACTGCATTTGTTCGTGGAAATTTCGTGGATAGAGTCGAGGGTGGACAGACAAGATGTATTGGACGTTGGGGACAAGTTTTAGAATTTTTCTGTAGTATATTGGTTGCCAGTTTGGTGACAAATGTTGGAACATTAAGCTGTCTGCTTCTGACGTAGTAATTGTTCATTATACTCCCTTGGTATTTGTGATTCATTTCGATCTATAAAATAGAATTTATTATGTCGTAGTGTGGAGTGTCTGACTAGGCTTTTCTGAATCTACTTGGGAATTATTGAATCCAATAGGAATTCCTGAAACTACTGAAACTACTGAAACTGCTGAAACTACCGAAACTACCGAAACTACTGAAACTATTGAAACTACTGAAACTATTGAAACTACTGAAACTACTGAAACTACTGAAACTACTGAAACTACAGAATCTACTGAAGCTACTGAAGCTACTGAAGCTACTGAATCTACTGAAACTACTGAGACTGCTGAGTGTGCTGAATCTGCTGAGTCCACCCAATTAGTATTTTACTAATTCAGTCGGGCTAATGTATACTTCAGTAAACATTCGAATCAACGAGTATTACTAAATAAACCACGTGCAATTAATTGTCTCTACCGCCTTTTGTTTACCCCGGACGATCGTAATCGCCCATTCCCGAAGACGCGAACGAGCAAGCGAAATCCACGGAACCGCGGTTTAATTCGTGTTTGCCGTGGATACGGGCGAGCATTTTTCAATTTCATGCTCGATTACTGGACACGGCGGCGGGAGAAGTTGCAAAACGTAGCTGAAAGCGGTAATCAACGATTCCCCGTAGTCAGCGGTTCGCAGATAAAATCTTCTCCGCGTTGCGCGACCTGGGTTGTGCGGAGGCGAATGTAAAACTTTCGAGAATCGATCGAGGGGGGGGGGGGTAGGGGGCGCAGTTAAAGAGTCGAAACTCACGCGAACAGGTCTTCGGGGTATCCCGTCGTGGTGAAATAGAAGGAAAAGAGAGTATTAAAGAAAACCACAGGGTGAAGGGGGTGGGGATGGGGAATTTATGCTAAGCGATGACCATAATCATTTCACCCGTTGTGGGACACACACCACGGATCGTCGCGTACAAGCAATAATCTCGTCTGCCTGATTCGTTTTGCTCGTAGATACTCGTTAGATTAAGGATCGGCTGGCGCCCGTGTTCGCCGCTATCCGCTCGTTTCCCGATGTCGAATGTCGAGCTGTTATTTCTAAAATTTCCCTCTCCCCTCGGGCGATGGGCGGCTTGGATCAAAGCTCCAGAACGCGCGTCCCGAGCGGGTAAAGCACTATCAATTTTTCCAACATTTTTCCCCCGTCGTCCGTGCTCGGTCCATCCGTTCCATTGATTTTCTCCCAGGCAAGGCCAGCTTTTTACATCGAGTAGTCGGACGTTTGATCGCGACCGCGCCGATCAAACAGATCGGACCTGTGATGGAAGAGGAAGGAAGGGTGGAATTAATACTCGTCACCTATCGCCTCGAGTTAATTTGAAAATTAAATGAAGGTTAATCGCGGAATCTTATCCGGTCGAGGGATCGGTCGATTCCAATTAGGTTCGGTTAATTCAGCTCCTCCGACCGGCTTCGGCTTTCCGTCGAGAGCTCGTAATCTGGTTTCGAATTAATACGAACCACTCTCTCCCTCTCTCTCACTCCTTTTATCCTTCTGTCTCTCTACTTCTCTCTCAATCTCGCGATACCAACGGGGAAATTTAAAACGTTTCGCTAACCGAACGCGAATTATATCGGAAAGAGGGCTGCTGCGCCCAATGTGTTTCAGGTTGATTTAGGATTAATCGCTACTGCAGGATCGTGTATCGTTCGAGTTTCGGTTTTAATGCACTGGTACACGTTAAATAAATACTTCGATGGCGTCAGCTTTTTATCTAGAATCCTGCCACATATCGCCCCTGTGCGTTTGCCCCATCGATATTTCACTGGCTGGAATATCGACGGGCCACTTCTTCGTTTTACAGTAAATCCTCGATTAACACTCGAAACTCGGGTCTGCTTTGGAGCAATTATCGTAGAGGGACACTATATTTCCGCAGGTCACAAATATCAGACCGAGCAGCCTTTGTATTTTACCAGCGGTCGACAAAGATTAAAAGTAATAGTGGGGATGAACCAGAAACAGTTAACGTAGAGATCTTTCCGTGCAGTTATCGAGACATTAATGTATTTCCTTCTAAATCGCGCTTTCAATCAATTTTTCATATTCAAAACTCCCTTGTTTTATACTTACGTTTCCGTCATGTTCTTACTGTAACGTTTCTGTCCACTTCTCGTTAAATATACGGTTGACATATACAATTTAATACGTCTTTCGCCGCGATGAAAGTGGTAAGACACTTGTTTACACACACCGCCACCCTCGAGGGGAATTTTCGACGGTCTCCGAAAAATAGTCCGCGCAGGAAACGTTCCGTGAACTATTTTTCCCGTGATTCACCGTTCCCCGGTCCGAGTTATTTTCCCGTTGCAATATTTGTCGAACGGTACCATAGCCGCCAGGGGGCCGCAAAATTTCTGAGGCAAACACAGTCAAGTGGTTCGTGATTTGTTGACCTTGCACACGATGGTACCACGCTTCCGCGATTTTGACGGATGACCGGAAACACCGCACGGTGTTTCGATGTTTATGCAGAACTCGAGAAGAGAGTTCCTTCTATCGTTTTCTTCGATGGGATTCCCGATCGAAACAGGGGATTTTTGAAACATCGCGAGCAAACAGCTACGCTTAAAGTTAATGCGTCTCCGGTAATCTATTCCGTTTCCGCGAGTTTCTGGCTTTATGACCTGAGCTTTCCGTGCCACTGGGAATGGATATGCTGGTAGACCGTCCAGAAAAGAACTTGCTCGAATGCGGCGATAGATTCGTGGCAGTGGTATGAGTCGGCCAATAGTCAGACACACCCCCTTCGATCTTATTACGAGCCCTTCATTTGGCAAAGTGATTAAGTCCACCGAAATTATCGATGAAATTTATTTTGAATATAAAAAGTTAGTTACAAAAAGGTACCACCCTCAGGTCTCGATGATTCTTGGCGGTCGTTGTTTATTAATAAGTTATTAACCACAACATTCCTTCGAAACAGTTTCTTTAGTTTCGGTTATTCATTTATATATTCTGTTACTGGGTATATGTCTGCCAGTATTTTGAAAAAAGCATCTAATCTTTCAACAGAAACAAAGCAACTGTCTGTAACCCACTCTGAAGCATTATACTGATCATTTTTTAAAAATTCTCTTAATTTATAGGGTTATCGATGAATCGAGGTTCAATATAACACAGTAATAGTATATAAATTTATGTCTGTAATACGAACATCGTTATACCGACCTACATAAGTGGAAGACACTCCAGTATGTTAAGCCCTTTACACCTGGAACACGATTCTCGTAATTTCGTCAGTCGCTAGGGTCTCAAATTAAATGTATGTGGGTGGCTCAAGGTAGATCAGAAATGACTTTACCGCACACTAGCCTCGTAAACTGGGATTCCTGGACTTAGAAGTGGTAGACAGCAGTAATAAAATCTATGCAGATTTCCTCAGAGGAGAACATGGATTCTCTATGAAGGCCTAAAATTCTATGAACCACCTTGAATTAAGTCCCCCAAATATATCAAACTCGATTCGGGGTAACAAATCCTACTTCCACTAGACTACGAAATTACGACGAATTATAAATTCTTTTGACAAGCAACAAACTACACTTTTAATTGAATCATCC